TTTCACTCTCACACTCTCTTAACTCTCTCAAACTCATTTTTTTCTCGCGTTCTCTCTCTTATTCTTACATTTTCACTCTTATAAACTCAATAAAGCAACGAATTGTGAATTGAATCAAATTTAAGAGGCTAATTTGGAAGGATTAAGAGGAACTTTTTAATAAGAGATATGTATATCTACACATGTGATTACTTAATTCATTTGAATCTTAAAATTTAAGTTGTATACAAAATAATCTAACAATTCAAATATTTTTTTTGTAGACAATTCAATATTAACGGAAGGACGTTTCAGTATGAACCGAAATTGCGAGCCTTACACAAGGCTACTCCTCAAAGCCCAAAAAGGAGAGTTTTATGCTCATTTTAGGCGTACCGCTCAATACGCCCTGGCGTACCACTCGATATGCCGTATCGTACCATACCGTACCGTGCAAAGCTCGGTACATTGGTATAGCATGAGATTAAAAACCTCGATCTGAATATCCTAATTTATTACAGTTATCTGATCTAAGGTTTCAAACTGTTCAGCATGGACCCAAGTCAGAAAGACTACAATGAAAAATGGCACAGATTAATTTATCCGGGCAATTATAAACAAATGAAACTAAACTGTAATAACTGGTTCTTAGTTCATTTGACCTAGATGCTCAAATCCCAATAAATCCATACTGATCACCGTAGACAATTCTTAATCACTATGGGTTGTGATCTTGACTAAGTTTATAGTATCTTTTAGCTAGAAATGTTTTTCTTTTATAAGTTCCTTAATTTTCCAGTTCTATTGTGCATTACTTAATTTTTTTTATTTACGAATCACAAACATCTGGAACATATTATTCAAGCAACATCGAGCAAACACTTACTGGACAGGATAAGAAAAACACTTTCAGATTGCTAGCTGTCTCTCGGAACATATGTGATTGCAGTCTATTAATCTCTGGGATACAAAGGCTTAACATATAACCATGGCTACATTTTGGTTATAGCAATCTACTAATTTCCCAAGCATACATCCTTGACAGCTCCTATGTGATTCCAGTCTACCCTCTCAATGTTTCGGGCTTTGGTCAAACTAAAAGACGTCATACTTCCACCATTGTGGCAGATCTTTTATGGGCATACAGCAAGCCGGTAGGAGCGTTGTTGATCCATATTTTCTTTTCAGCTGCAGCCCCAGCCACCACTCATCCCTTCCATGACTCGAACTTCAACTGGGTACATGGGCAAAACCAAGCACTTGGAAATTACAAGATTAGTGCCTAACCACTATTAATTAGCACCTTGGCCTCCTGTGTGGACGAGGAACTCCCCGTCCCGTGCGTCATGATTATTTACTACTGATATTTGCTTTAGTCATGATTAGTGCCTAACCGCTATTACTGATTTCTGGGAAGGAAAAAAAAGATCCAGTGACGAGAACAAGCGGGCAAAGAAGCCAGCAAGCTTATTTGTGGGGAGGACGAAGGTTCGACAATAATCCCAAGAGGTATAGAGCGCGAGAGGAGTTAAGACAGGTGGATTTATACATCGGAGGTGCCAGAGCTACATACCCTACATACCTGGTTACATTTCTTTCTAATATTACCTGTCTAGTTCTAATATTACTAGACAGGTGGACGTGCTCGCCGGTGGCCACCTCCCAGCGGCGGTCCAGGTCGTCCTCCTCGACGATGCCCCGGTGGTGTTTCAGCAGGCGCACCGCCCCGTTCGCGAAACGCTCCATCCCGGCCTACGTTTTCGGCAAGAAGAGTCAAATCAAGAGACACCGTGCATGCACGAATCGAAAAGAACAAGGTGAAGAAAGAGGAATTGGCGATCAATGGGAGGGGAACTGACGGCGACGGAAGGGCCGGGGTTCCATCCGGGCATGGCGAGGAAGGCAGAGACGGAACCGACGGAGGCCGGGTCGGCAGTGGTCGCCACCAGCGTCACCATCACTGCAGCTGCGCGGCTGGGTCTAGATCTCCTGCGGCGGATGGGGAGGAGGGAAGCGGGCGTTCTTAGCAGGAACCGATGGCGTCCGACGCACAGACTTCGCATCTCTTGCTGACCTGATCAAGACGCGCGCGACGGACGAGATTGAGAAGCGGGACAGAATGGACGGTTCTGGAGCGACCCGTAATAAAGCTTTCCTCTTCCATGTTCAAACGTTACGCTGCGTGTCGACTTGGCATTCCAGCAGGTACATGCATGCATCGAATGCATGAATTGGCCAGAACTATAAAATTGATTGGGTAAAGTACATCATGTACACGAATGCATTGCATGCATGAACTGTAAAATTGATTGGGCAAATTCCAGATTTAAGCCTTTCCTGGTAGTTCAGCAATGAGCGTTAGTTGATTGGGTACTTCGATTCAGATGTCTATAACCGGATCTGAACTATCGTGATGTTTAGTGTTCAATCAAACAGCTTCGATGTGAGTGGGGCTCAAGAATGTGAATTTGGGATCCTGCAATTAGGGTTTTACTTTCTCTTTTACTTTTGATTACTCTGTTATTAGCAACATTGTTTCATTCTTCTTTTGACACTCCATCAGGATACTTGAGATTGAATATAACTGGGTTATTTGAAGCGTTTCTCACTGTGTCATATAGATTTGTGCATTTAGCATCAAGCATGTTATATACAGACAACTAATAAAAATTTGATAATGGCAGGTTATGATTCACTATGCTTACAATTGGGTTGTTCATTTGACATTGTATATTTCTTTCTGACAATCTACCTTCGTCTGTGATCGGGTGGGACTTCATGTTATCGTGGTGTTCTTCCTTTTACTTCTCTTTTCACAAGGATAGATTTTATCTTTGTTTAATTAGGCATTCATGTGATTATTACACGTTGCACTGTGAAGACGTGGAAAGAAGTTTGGCTATGGGAAACTTGGGAAGGAGCCAACTGTTGAGACAAGCTTTCTGCCCTGATAGGAATGTTATATATGTGTAGTTGAATTTGCTGTGTTTTTTTTCTTTCAGCAGCTGAAAAGAAACTTTGTTTTACTGATTGCTTAGCTTATGACTTTGCGTTTGTGGCAACGATGATTTTTCAGGGAGAGAGAAGCAGAGGAACAAGCAGAACGAGAACGATTATGACGTCAATGGCTACATGAGCAGGAATTGATTAAAAGTATTCAGAAACTTATACTGCCATGTAGTTTCTGCTTATGTAGTCACTAGTTAGTGATCATGTAGTCAGGGGGCTGGGGGAGCGCGGCGCCGAAGTCATCTCCTCCTCCCCTCGTCGGCCGTCGGATGGTTAACTTAAAGAGTAGGAGGGGGAGGGAGAGTGAGTATGTCACATCCTGG